GCTCCTTTCCCTTTGCTGCTGTTTTTGCCACACGCTTGCACCTTGGACCTGGACATGCCAGTGCTGCAGACAAAGTGTTCAGTTAGTGCTGGGACAAAGTGAGGTCAAGCTAATGACCTGGGTCTCCTGGCAGCTGACCTCCCAACTGGATTTCTAGAACAATGCAGTAAAGCTTCCCGCTGCTTGCAGTCCTCTGAAATCCTACAAGACTGGCATTGTGAGGATTGTGTTTTCCACCTCCTAGCCTGCTTCCCTGGATCCATTCATGTCAAATGGTTCCCTTATGACCTACAGTCTGGAGATGTATTTCTCCTGCCTCGGTTCCCTCTGCATTGGGGAGGAGTACTTCATCCCCTTTGGAAAGCCCTGCTCAAGAGAGATGCCGAACGTGCTGGCTGTGTTTGCCTCTTTTGTTCCTTCCATCACCTGATCGTGCTCATTAGGGCTTTTGGCTAAAGCAGAAGTGTTGTGCGTGGAAGTGGGTTGAGAAGGAGCCTTTGCCAGTTCTCAGACGTGTCCTTTAAATTACACAGACTGATTCCAAAGGTCAAGGGAAAGTGTTGCCCAATTTGACACTTTGTGCTGCAGTGGGCAAGAGTTTGGATGCGCGCTCTGTTGCAGTGGAGCACGGCAAAGGTAATTTCAGAGGGACTAAATGGTTACCTTTGTAAAGTTCTCTGGGGTGACATGGCTGGGGAGAAAGCAGAGTGAAATAAGCCGTCAGAGTAATGACCAACCTGTTATCTTTTGTTAGGGGTCTTGCCAGCAGCAGGAGAAGAGCAGAAGGAAGACAACGACTCCCCCTGGGATTCTGAGGTACCTGCTCTGGAGGTGGCAGTGAGGTCCCGCTGGATCAATGGCTTCTGGGCTCCTTTCCCTTTGCTGCTGCTTTTGCCCCACGCTTGCACCTTGGACCTGGACATGCCAGTGCTGCAGACAAAGTGTTCAGTTAGTGCTGGGACAAAGTGAGGTCAAGCTAATGTCCTTGCAGCTGACCTCCCAGCTGGATTTCTAGAACAAAGCAGTAAAGCTTCTTGCTGCTTGCAGTCCTCTGAAATCCTACAAGACTGGCACTGTGAGGATTGTGTTTTCCACCTCCTAGCCTGCTTCCCTGGATCCATTCATGTCAAATAACCTCCAGTCTGGAGATGTATTTCTCCTGCCTCAGTTCTCTCTGCATTGGGCAGGAGTACTTCATCCCCTTTGGAAAGCCCTGCTCAAGAGAGATGCCGAATGTGCTGGCTGTGTTTCCCGTTTTGTGGCTTCCTCCACCTGATCCCGCTCGTTAGGCCTGTTGACTGAAGCTGAAGTGCTGTGCGTGGAAGTGGGTTGAGAAGGAGCCTTTGCCAGTTCTCCGACGTGTCTTTTAAATTACACAGACTGATTCTGACGGTCCCTGGGATGTGTCGAAAAATGTGCTGCTTCCTGCTGCATTCGGCAATAGATTGGACGCGCGTGCTGTGTTAGTACGGAGCGGCAAAGGTAATTTCAGAGGGACTAAATGGCTACCTTTGAGAACTTCTCTGGGGTGACATGGCTGGGGAGAAAGCAGAGTGAAATAAGCACTCAAAGACATGCCTGTTACCTTTTGTATAGGGGCCTTGCCAGCAGCAGAAGAGCAGAAGGAAGACAATGACTCCCCCTGGGATACTAAGGTACCTTCTCTGGAGGAGGCAGTGAGGTCCCGCTGAATCAATGGCGTCTGAGCTCCTTTCCCTTTGCTGCTGTTTTTGCCACACGCTTGCACCTTGGACCTGGACATGCCAGTGCTGCAGACAAAGTGTTCAGTTAATGCTGGGACAAAGTGAGGTCAAGCTAATGACCTGGGTCTCCTGGCAGCTGACCTCCCAACTGGATTTCTAGAACAATGCAGTAAAGCTTCTTGCTGCTTGCAGTCCTCTGAAATCCTCCAAGACTGGCACTGTGAGGATTGTGTTTTCCACCTCCTAGCCTGCTTCCCTGGATCCATTCATTTCAAATGGTTCCCTTACGACCTACAGTCTGGAGATGTATTTCTCCTGCCTAGGTTCTCTCTGCATTGGGCAGGAGTACTTCATCCCCTTTGGAAAGCCCTGCTCAAGAGAGATGCCGAATGTGCTGGCTGTGTTTCCCGTTTTGTGGCTTCCTCCACCTGATCCCGCTCGTTAGGCCTGTTGGCTGAAGCTGAAGTGCTGTGCGTGGAAGTGGGTTGAGAAGGAGCCTTTGCCAGTTCTCCGACGTGTCTTTTAAATTACGCAGACTGATTCCAAAGGTCAAGGGAAAGTGTCGACCAACTTGACACTTCGTGCTGCAGTGGGCAAGAGTTTGGATGCGCACTCTGTTGCAGTGGAGCATGGCAAAGGTAATTTCAGAGGGACTAAATGGTTACCTTTGTAAAGTTCTCTGGGGTGACATGGCTGGGGAGAAAGCAGAGTGAAATAAGCCCTCAGAGTAATGACATGCCTCTTACGTCTTTTGTTAGGGGTCTTGCCAGCAGCAGCAGAAGAGCACAAGGATAACAAAGACTTTTCCTGGGGAGATGATGACATTTCCTGGTTTTTGGAGGTAGCTGTTCTGGATGGGGCAATGAGTTTCTTCTGGATCAATGATGTCTGGTCTCCTTTCCCTTTGCTGCTGCTTTTGCCACATGCTTGCACCTTGGGCCTGGACATGCCAGTGCTGCAGACAAACGGTTCAGTTAGTGCTGGGACAAAGTGAGGTCAGCTAATGTCCTGGGTCTCCTTGCAGCTGACCTCCCAGCTGGATTAATAGAACAAAGCAGTAAAGCTTCCCGCTGCTTGCAGTCCTCTGAAATCCTACAAGACTGGCACTGTGAGGATTGTGTTTTCCACCTCCTAGCCTGCTTCCCTGGATCCATTCATGTCAAATAACCTCCAGTCTGGAGATGTATTTCTCCTGTCTAGGTTCTCTCTGCATTGTGCAGGAGTACTTCATCCCCTTTGGAAAGCCCTGCTCAAGAGAGATGCCGAACGTGCTGGCTGTGTTTGCCTCTTTTGTTCCTTCCGTCACCTGATCGTGCTCTTTAGGGCTTTTGGCTAAAGCAGAAGTGTTGTGCGTGGAAGTAGGTTGAGAAGGGGCCTTTGCCAGTTCTCCGACGTGTCTTTTAAATTCCACAGACTGATTCCAAAGGTCATGGGAAAGTGTCGACCAATTTGACACTTCCTGCTGCAGTGGGCAAGAGTTTGGATGCGCGCTCTGTTGCAGTGGAGCACGGCAAAGGTAATTTCAGAGGGACTAAATGGTTACCTTTGTAAAGTTCTCTGGGGTGACATGGCTGGGGAGAAAGCAGAGTGAAATAAGCCCTCAGAGTAATGACATGCCTCTTACGTCTTTTGTTAGGGGTCTTGCCAGCAGCAGCAGAAGAGCACAAGGATAACAAAGACTTTTCCTGGGGAGATGATGACATTTCCTGGTTTTTGGAGGTAGCTGTTCTGGATGGGGCAATGAGTTTCTTCTGGATCAATGATGTCTGGTCTCCTTTCCCTTTGCTGCTGCTTTTGCCACATGCTTGCACCTTGGGCCTGGACATGCCAGTGCTGCAGTGTGCAAGTTTCGAGCTGGCTTCCCGCCAAGTCCCCCGAAACTCGACAACGAGGACCCGCCTCCCAGAGAGGGAAAAGAGAAAAAAGAAACAAGCAGCCAAAGCTATAGCAAAAATATGTATATATATATATATATATATGTTTTATATATGAGACAGATACACAAAAGGAGAATACCACACACTGGGGGGGGGGGGAAGGGGGGAAGGGAAGGGAGAAGGACAAAAAGGGGCAAGGACCGCACAAGTCAAACAACCAGCCGAAGGCAAATTAGCAAAAATCTCACCACTTCCCTTCGAACAGGCAGGATGGCTGGACACGGCCCTTGGCTCTCCCCTCACGGGTGGCAGATAACAGCAGTCACTGTAGGCCTCGGCTCCAGATAAGCCCGACCGAAACAGGGACCCACCGTTCTCGAACCTCGCCGGAAAGGAAGAGAGCGAACTATCTTATCCATGCCTTATTTATACCCTAGGTTACGTAAAGGAATAGCATGGAATACTTCCTTGGTCACCTTCCTAGTTCCTTCCTGGTTACAAGCTGGTTTCCAGGAAGGCCTAGACTGAAACCACCACATGCAGACAAACGGTTCAGTTAGTGCTGGGACAAAGTGAGGTCAGCTAATGTCCTGGGTCTCCTTGCAGCTGACCTCCCAGCTGGATTAATAGAACAAAGCAGTAAAGCTTCCCGCTGCTTGCAGTCCTCTGAAATCCTACAAGACTGGCACTGTGAGGATTGTGTTTTCCACCTCCTAGCCTGCTTCCCTGGATCCATTCATGTCAAATGGTTCCCTTATGACCTACAGTCTGGAGATGTATTTCTCCTGTCTAGGTTCTCTCTGCATTGTGCAGGAGTACTTCATCCCCTTTGGAAAGCCCTGCTCAAGAGAGATGCCGAACGTGCTGGCTGTGTTTGCCTCTTTTGTTCCTTCCGTCACCTGATCGTGCTCTTTAGGGCTTTTGGCTAAAGCTGAAGTGTTGTGCATGGAAGTAGGTTGAGAAGGGGCCTTTGCCAGTTCTCAGACGTGTCTTTTAAATTCCACAGACTGATTCCAAAGGTCATGGGAAAGTGTCGACCAATTTGACACTTCGTGCTGCAGTGGGCAAGAGTTTGGATGCGCGCTCTGTTGCAGTGGAGCACGGCAAAGGTAATTTCAGAGGGACTAAATGGTTACCTTTGTAAAGTTCTCTGGGGTGACATGGCTGGGGAGAAAGCAGAGTGAAATAAGCCCTCAGAGTAATGACATGCCTCTTATGTCTTTTGTTAGGGGTCTTGCCAGCAGCAGCAGAAGAGCAGAAGGATAACAAAGACTTTTCCTGGGGAGATGATGACATTTCCTGGCTTTTGGAGGTAGCTGTTCTGGATGGGGCAATGAGTTTCTTCTGGATCAATGATGTCTGGGCTCCTTTCCCTTTGCTGCTGCTTTTGCCACATGCTTGCACCTTGGGCCTGGACATGCCAGTGCTGCAGACAAACGGTTCAGTTAGTGCTGGGACAAAGTGAGGTCAGCTAATGTCCTGAGTCTCCTTGCAGCTGACCTCCCAGCTGGATTTGTAGAACAAAGCAGTAAAGCTTCTTGCTGCTTGCAGTCCTCTGAAATCCTACAAGACTGGCACTGTGAGGATTGTGTTTTCCACCTCCTAGCCTGCTTCCCTGGATCCATTCATGTCAAATAACCTCCAGTCTGGAGATGTATTTCTCCTGCCTCAGTTCTCTCTGCATTGGGCAGGAGTACTTCATCCCCTTTGGAAAGCCCTGCTCAAGAGAGATGCCGAATGTGCTGGCTGTGTTTCCCGTCTTGTGGCTTCCTCCACCTGATCCCGCTCGTTAGGCCTGTTGACTGAAGCTGAAGTGCTGTGCGTGGAAGTGGGTTGAGAAGGAGCCTTTGCCAGTTCTCCGACGTGTCTTTTAAATTACACAGACTGATTCTGACGGTCCCTGGGATGTGTCGAAAAATGTGCTGTTTCCTGCTGCATTCGGCAATAGATTGGACGCGCGTGCTGTGTTAGTACGGAGCGGCAAAGGTAATTTCAGAGGGACTAAATGGCTACCTTTGAGAACTTCTCTGGGGTGACATGGCTGGGGAGAAAGTAGAGTGAAATAAGCACTCAAAGACATGCCTGTTACCTTTTGTATAGGGGCCTTGCCAGCAGCAGAAGAGCAGAAGGAAGACAATGACTCCCCCTGGGATACTAAGGTACCTTCTCTGGAGGAGGCAGTGAGGTCCCGCTGAATCAATGGCGTCTGAGCTCCTTTCCCTTTGCTGCTGTTTTTGCCACACGCTTGCACCTTGGACCTGGACATGCCAGTGCTGCAGACAAAGTGTTCAGTTAGTGCTGGGACAAAGTGAGGTCAAGCTAATGACCTGGGTCTCCTGGCAGCTGACCTCCCAACTGGATTTCTAGAACAATGCAGTAAAGCTTCCCGCTGCTTGCAGTCCTCTGAAATCCTACAAGACTGGCACTGTGAGGCTTGTGTTTTCCACCTCCTAGCCTGCTTCCCTGGATCCATTCATTTCAAATGGTTCCCTTATGACCTACAGTCTGGAGATGTATTTCTCCTGCCTAGGTTCTCTCTGCATTGTGCAGGAGTACTTCATCCCCTTTGGAAAGCCCTGCTCAAGAGAGATGCCGAATGTGCTGGCTGTGTTTGCCTGTTTTGTTGCTTCCGTCACCTGATCGTGCTCATTAGGGCTTTTGGCTAAAGCAGAAGTGTTGTGCGTGGAAGTGGGTTGAGAAGGAGCCTTTGCCAGTTCTCAGACGTGTCCTTTAAATTACACAGACTGATTCCAAAGGTCAAGGGAAAGTGTCGACCAACTTGACACTTCGTGCTGCAGTGGGCAAGAGTTTGGATGCGCGCTCTGTTGCAGTGGAGCATGGCAAAGGTAATTTCAGAGGGACTAAATGGTTACCTTTGTAAAGTTCTCTGGGGTGACATGGCTGGGGAGAAAGCAGAGTGAAATAAGCCCTCAGAGTAATGACATGCCTCTTACGTCTTTTGTTAGGGGTCTTGCCAGCAGCAGAAGAAGAGCAGAAGGATAACAAAGACTTTTCCTGGGGAGATGATGACATTTCCTGGCTTTTGGAGGTAGCTGTTCTGGATGGGGCAATGAGTTTCTTCTGGATCAATGATGTCTGGGCTCCTTTCCCTTTGCTGCTGCTTTTGCCACATGCTTGCACCTTGGACCTGGACATGCCAGTGCTGGAGACAAACGGTTCAGTTAGTGCTGGGACAAAGTGAGGTCAGCTAATGTCCTGGGTCTCCTTGCAGCTGACCTCCCAGCTGGATTAATAGAACAAAGCAGTAAAGCTTCCCGCTGCTTGCAGTCCTCTGAAATCCTACAAGACTGGCATTGTGAGGATTGTGTTTTCCACCTCCTAGCCTGCTTCCCTGGATCCATTCATGTCAAATGGTTCCCTTATGACCTACAGTCTGGAGATGTATTTCTCCTGCCTCGGTTCCCTCTGCATTGGGAGGAGTACTTCATCCCCTTTGGAAAGCCCTGCTCAAGAGAGATGCCGAACGTGCTGGCTGTGTTTGCCTGTTTTGTTGCTTCCGTCACCTGATCGTGCTCATTAGGCCTTTTGGCTAAAGCAGAAGTGTTGTGCGTGGAAGTGGGTTGAGAAGGAGCCTTTGCCAGTTCTCAGACGTGTCTTTTCAATTCCACAGACTGATTCTGAAGGTCCAGCAGAAAGTGTGCTGCTTCCTGCTGCAGTGGGCAAGAGTTTGGATGTGCGCTCCGTTACAGTGGAGCACGGCAAAGGTAATTTCAGAGGGACTAAATGGTTACCTTTGTAAAGTTCTCTGGGGTGACATGGCTGGGGAGAAAGCAGAGTGAAATAAGCCCTCAGAGTAATGACAAACCTGTTATCTTTTGTTAGGGGTCTTGCCAGCAGCAGGAGAAGAGCAGAAGGAAGACAATGACTCCCCCTGGGATTCTGAGGTACCTGCTCTGGAGGTGGCAGTGAGGTCCCGCTGGATCAATGGCTTCTGGGCTCCTTTCCCTTTGCTGCTGCTTTTGTCCCACGCTTGCACCTTGGACCTGGACATGCCAGTGCTGCAGACAAAGTGTTCAGTTAGTGCTGGGACAAAGTGAGGTCAAGCTAATGTCCTTGCAGCTGACCTCCCAGCTGGATTTGTAGAACAAAGCAGTAAAGCTTCTTGCTGCTTGCAGTCCTCTGAAATCCTACAAGACTGGCACTGTGAGGATTGTGTTTTCCACCTCCTAGCCTGCTTCTCTGGATCCATTCATGTCAAATAACCTCCAGTCTGGAGATGTACTTCTCCTGCCTAGATTCTCTCTGCACTGGACAGGAGTACTTCATCCCCTTTGGAAAGCCCTGCTCAAGAGAGATGCCGAACGTGCTGGCTGTGTTTGCCCATTTTGTGGCTTCCGCCACCTGATCCTGCTCGTTAGGCCTGTTGGCTGAAGCAGAAGAGTTGTGCGTGGAAGTGGGTTGAGAAGGAGCCTTTGCCAGTTCTCAGACGTGTCTTTTAAATTACGCAGACTGATTCTGACGGTCAAGGGAAAGTGTTGCCAATTTGACACTTCCTGCTGCAGTGGGCAAGAGTTTGGATGCGCGCTCTGTTGCAGTGGAGCACGGCAAAGGTAATTTCAGAGGGACTAAATGGTTACCTTTGTAAAGTTCTCTGGGGTGACATGGCTGGGGAGAAAGCAGAGTGAAATAAGCCCTCAGAGTAATGACAACCTGTTATCTTTTGTTAGGGGTCTTGCCAGCAGCAGGAGAAGAGCAGAAGGAAGACAATGACTCCCCCTGGGATTCTGAGGTACCTGCTCTGGAGGTGGCAGTGAGGTCCCGCTGGATCAATGGCTTCTGGGCTCCTTTCCCTTTGCTGCTGCTTTTGCCCCACGCTTGCTCCTTGGACCTGGACATGCCAGTGCTGCAGACAAAGTGTTCAGTTAGTGCTGGGACAAAGTGAGGTCAAGCTAATGTCCTGGGTCTCCTTGCAGCTGACCTCCCAGCTGGATTTGTAGAACAAAGCAGTAAAGCTTCTTGCTGCTTGCAGTCCTCTGAAATCCTACAAGACTGGCACTGTGAGGATTGTGTTTTCCACCTCCTAGCCTGCTTCCCTGGATCCATTCATGTCAAATAACCTCCAGTCTGGAGATGTATTTCTCCTGCCTCAGTTCTCTCTGCATTGGGCAGGAGTACTTCATCCCCTTTGGAAAGCCCTGCTCAAGAGAGATGCCGAATGTGCTGGCTGTGTTTCCCGTTTTGTGGCTTCCTCCACCTGATCCCGCTCGTTAGGCCTGTTGACTGAAGCTGAAGTGCTGTGCGTGGAAGTGGGTTGAGAAGGAGCCTTTGCCAGTTCTCCGACGTGTCTTTTAAATTACACAGACTGATTCTGACGGTCCCTGGGATGTGTCGAAAAATGTGCTGCTTCCTGCTGCATTCGGCAATAGATTGGACGTGCGCGTGCTGTGTTAGTACGGAGCGGCAAAGGTAATTTCAGAGGGACTAAATGGCTACCTTTGAGAACTTCTCTGGGGTGACATGGCTGGGGAGAAAGCAGAGTGAAATAAGCACTCAAAGACATGCCTGTTACCTTTTGTATAGGGGCCTTGCCAGCAGCAGAAGAGCAGAAGGAAGACAATGACTCCCCCTGGGATACTAAGGTACCTTCTCTGGAGGAGGCAGTGAGGTCCCGCTGAATCAATGGCGTCTGAGCTCCTTTCCCTTTGCTGCTGTTTTTGCCACACGCTTGCACCTTGGACCTGGACATGCCAGTGCTGCAGACAAAGTGTTCAGTTAGTGCTGGGACAAAGTGAGGTCAAGCTAATGACCTGGGTCTCCTGGCAGCTGACCTCCCAACTGGATTTCTAGAACAATGCAGTAAAGCTTCTTGCTGCTTGCAGTCCTCTGAAATCCTACAAGACTGGCACTGTGAGGATTGTGTTTTCCACCTCCTAGCCTGCTTCCCTGGATCCATTCATTTCAAATGGTTCCCTTATGACCTACAGTCTGGAGATGTATTTCTCCTGTCTAGGTTCTCTCTGCATTGTGCAGGAGTACTTCATCCCCTTTGGAAAGCCCTGCTCAAGAGAGATGCCGAACGTGCTGGCTGTGTTTGCCTCTTTTGTTCCTTCCGTCACCTGATCGTGCTCTTTAGGGCTTTTGGCTAAAGCAGAAGTGTTGTGCGTGGAAGTAGGTTGAGAAGGAGCCTTTGCCAGTTCTCAGATGTGTCTTTTAAATTCCACAGACTGATTCCAAAGGTCAAGGGAAAGTGTCGACCAATTTGACACTTCCTGCTGCAGTGGGCAAGAGTTTGGATGTGCACTCTGTTGCAGTGGAGCACGGCAAAGGTAATTTCAGAGGGACTAAATGGTTACCTTTGTAAAGTTCTCTGGGGTGACATGGCTGGGGAGAAAGCAGAGTGAAATAAGCCCTCAGAGTAATGACATGCCTCTTACGTCTTTTGTTAGGGGTCTTGCCAGCAGCAGGAGAAGAGCAGAAGGAAGACAATGACTCCCCCTGGGATTCTGAGGTACCTGCTCTGGAGGTGGCAGTGAGGTCCCGCTGGATCAATGGCTTCTGGGCTCCTTTCCCTTTGCTGCTGCTTTTGCCCCACGCTTGCTCCTTGGACCTGGACATGCCAGTGCTGCAGACAAAGTGTTCAGTTAGTGCTGGGACAAAGTGAGGTCAAGCTAATGTCCTGGGTCTCCTTGCAGCTGACCTCCCAGCTGGATTTGTAGAACAAAGCAGTAAAGCTTCTTGCTGCTTGCAGTCCTCTGAAATCCTACAAGACTGGCACTGTGAGGATTGTGTTTTCCACCTCCTAGCCTGCTTCCCTGGATCCATTCATGTCAAATAACCTCCAGTCTGGAGATGTACTTCTCCTGCCTAGATTCTCTCTGCACTGGACAGGAGTACTTCATCCCCTTTGGAAAGCCCTGCTCAAGAGAGATGCCGAACGTGCTGGCTGTGTTTGCCCATTTTGTGGCTTCCGCCACCTGATCCTGCTCGTTAGGCCTGTTGGCTGAAGCAGAAGAGTTGTGCGTGGAAGTGGGTTGAGAAGGAGCCTTTGCCAGTTCTCAGACGTGTCTTTTAAATTACGCAGACTGATTCTGACGGTCAAGGGAAAGTGTTGCCCAATTTGACACTTCCTGCTGCAGTGGGCAAGAGTTTGGATGCGCGCTCTGTTGCAGTGGAGCACGGCAAAGGTAATTTCAGAGGGACTAAATGGTTACCTTTGTAAAGTTCTCTGGGGTGACATGGCTGGGGAGAAAGCAGAGTGAAATAAGCCCTCAGAGTAATGACAAACCTGTGTTATCTTTTGTTAGGGGTCTTGCCAGCAGCAGGAGAAGAGCAGAAGGAAGACAATGACTCCCCCTGGGATTCTGAGGTACCTGCTCTGGAGGTGGCAGTGAGGTCCCGCTGGATCAATGGCTTCTGGGCTCCTTTCCCTTTGCTGCTGCTTTTGCCCCACGCTTGCTCCTTGGACCTGGACATGCCAGTGCTGCAGACAAAGTGTTCAGTTAGTGCTGGGACAAAGTGAGGTCAAGCTAATGTCCTGGGTCTCCTGCAGCTGACCTCCCAGCTGGATTTGTAGAACAAAGCAGTAAAGCTTCTTGCTGCTTGCAGTCCTCTGAAATCCTACAAGACTGGCACTGTGAGGATTGTGTTTTCCACCTCCTAGCCTGCTTCCCTGGATCCATTCATGTCAAATAACCTCCAGTCTGGAGATGTATTTCTCCTGCCTCAATTCTCTCTGCATTGGGCAGGAGTACTTCATCCCCTTTGGAAAGCCCTGCTCAAGAGAGATGCCGAATGTGCTGGCTGTGTTTCCCGTTTTGTGGCTTCCTCCACCTGATCCCGCTCGTTAGGCCTGTTGACTGAAGCTGAAGTGCTGTGCGTGGAAGTGGGTTGAGAAGGAGCCTTTGCCAGTTCTCCGACGTGTCTTTTAAATTACACAGACTGATTCTGACGGTCCCTGGGATGTGTCGAAAAATGTGCTGCTTCCTGCTGCATTCGGCAATAGATTGGACGCGCGTGCTGTGTTAGTACGGAGCGGCAAAGGTAATTTCAGAGGGACTAAATGGCTACCTTTGAGAACTTCTCTGGGGTGACATGGCTGGGGAGAAAGCAGAGTGAAATAAGCCCTCAAAGACATGCCTGTTACCTTTTGTATAGGGGCCTTGCCAGCAGCAGAAGAGCAGAAGGAAGACAATGACTCCCCCTGGGATACTAAGGTACCTTCTCTGGAGGAGGCAGTGAGGTCCCGCTGAATCAATGGCGTCTGAGCTCCTTTCCCTTTGCTGCTGTTTTTGCCACACGCTTGCACCTTGGACCTGGACATGCCAGTGCTGCAGACAAAGTGTTCAGTTAGTGCTGGGACAAAGTGAGGTCAAGCTAATGACCTGGGTCTCCTGGCAGCTGACCTCCCAACTGGATTTCTAGAACAATGCAGTAAAGCTTCTTGCTGCTTGCAGTCCTCTGAAATCCTCCAAGACTGGCACTGTGAGGATTGTGTTTTCCACCTCCTAGCCTGCTTCCCTGGATCCATTCATTTCAAATGGTTCCCTTATGACCTACAGTCTGGAGATGTATTTCTCCTGCCTAGGTTCTCTCTGCATTGGGCAGAAGTACTTCATCCCCTTTGGAAAGCCCTGCTCAAGAGAGATGCCGAATGTGCTGGCTGTGTTTCCCGTTTTGTGGCTTCCTCCACCTGATCCCGCTCGTTAGGCCTGTTGACTGAAGCTGAAGTGCTGTGCGTGGAAGTGGGTTGAGAAGGAGCCTTTGCCAGTTCTCAGACGTGTCTTTTAAATTACGCAGACTGATTCCAAAGGTCAAGGGAAAGTGTCGACCAACTTGACACTTCGTGCTGCAGTGGGCAAGAGTTTGGATGCGCGCTCTGTTGCAGTGGAGCACGGCAAAGGTAATTTCAGAGGGACTAAATGGTTACCTTTGTAAAGTTCTCTGGGGTGACATGGCTGGGGAGAAAGCAGAGTGAAATAAGCCCTCAGAGTAATGACATGCCTCTTATGTCTTTTGTTAGGGGTCTTGCCAGCAGCAGCAGAAGAGCAGAAGGATAACAAAGACTTTTCCTGGGGAGATGATGACATTTCCTGGCTTTTGGAGGTAGCTGTTCTGGAGGGGGCAATGAGTTTCTTCTGGATCAATGATGTCTGGGCTCCTTTCCCTTTGCTGCTGCTTTTGCCACATGCTTGCACCTTGGGCCTGGACATGCCAGTGCTGCAGACAAACGGTTCAGTTAGTGCTGGGACAAAGTGAGGTCAGCTAATGTCCTGGGTCTCCTTGCAGCTGACCTCCCAGCTGGATTAATAGAACAAAGCAGTAAAGCTTCCCGCTGCTTGCAGTCCTCTGAAATCCTACAAGACTGGCACTGTGAGGATTGTGTTTTCCACCTCCTAGCCTGCTTCCCTGGATCCATTCATGTCAAATGGTTCCCTTATGACCTACAGTCTGGAGATGTATTTCCCTCCGGTCTAGGTTCTCTCTGCATTGTGCAGGAGTACTTCATCCCCTTTGGAAAGCCCTGCTCAAGAGAGATGCCGAACGTGCTGGCTGTGTTTGCCTCTTTTGTTCCTTCCGTCACCTGATCGTGCTCTTTAGGGCTTTTGGCTAAAGCAGAAGTGTTGTGCGTGGAAGTAGGTTGAGAAGGGGCCTTTGCCAGTTCTCAGACGTGTCTTTTAAATTCCACAGACTGATTCCAAAGGTCATGGGAAAGTGTCGACCAATTTGACACTTCCTGCTGCAGTGGGCAAGAGTTTGGATGCGCGCTCTGTTGCAGTGGAGCACGGCAAAGGTAATTTCAGAGGGACTAAATGGTTACCTTTGTAAAGTTCTCTGGGGTGACATGGACTGGGGAGAAAGCAGAGTGAAATAAGCCCTCAGAGTAATGACCAACCTGTTATCTTTTGTTAGGGGTCTTGCCAGCAGCAGGAGAAGAGCAGAAGGAAGACAATGACTCCCCCTGGGATTCTGAGGTACCTGCTCTGGAGGTGGCAGTGAGGTCCCGCTGGATCAATGGCTTCTGGGCTCCTTTCCCTTTGCTGCTGCTTTTGCCCCACGCTTGCACCTTGGACCTGGACATGCCAGTGCTGCAGACAAAGTGTTCAGTTAGTGCTGGGACAAAGTGAGGTCAAGCTAATGTCCTGGGTCTCCTTGCAGCTGACCTCCCAGCTGGATTTGTAGAACAAAGCAGTAAAGCTTCTTGCTGCTTGCAGTCCTCTGAAATCCTACAAGACTGGCACTGTGAGGATTGTGTTTTCCACCTCCTAGCCTGCTTCCCTGGATCCATTCATGTCAAATAACCTCCAGTCTGGAGATGTATTTCTCCTGCCTCAGTTCTCTCTGCATTGGGCAGGAGTACTTCATCCCCTTTGGAAAGCCCTGCTCAAGAGAGATGCCGAATGTGCTGGCTGTGTTTCCCGTTTTGTGGCTTCCTCCACCTGATCCCGCTCGTTAGGCCTGTTGACTGAAGCTGAAGTGCTGTGCGTGGAAGTGGGTTGAGAAGGAGCCTTTGCCAGTTCTCCGACGTGTCTTTTAAATTACACAGACTGATTCTGACGGTCCCTGGGATGTGTCGAAAAATGTGCTGCTTCCTGCTGCATTCGGCAATAGATTGGATGCGCGTGCTGTGTTAGTACGGAGCGGCAAAGGTAATTTCAGAGGGACTAAATGGCTACCTTTGAGAACTTCTCTGGGGTGACATGGCTGGGGAGAAAGCAGAGTGAAATAAGCACTCAAAGACATGCCTGTTACCTTTTGTATAGGGGCCTTGCCAGCAGCAGAAGAGCAGAAGGAAGACAATGACTCCCCCTGGGATACTAAGGTACCTTCTCTGGAGGAGGCAGTGAGGTCCCGCTGAATCAATGGCGTCTGAGCTCCTTTCCCTTTGCTGCTGTTTTTGCCACACGCTTGCACCTTGGACCTGGACATGCCAGTGCTGCAGACAAAGTGTTCAGTTAGTGCTGGGACAAAGTGAGGTCAAGCTAATGACCTGGGTCTCCTGGCAGCTGACCTCCCAACTGGATTTCTAGAACAATGCAGTAAAGCTTCTTGCTGCTTGCAGTCCTCTGAAATCCTACAAGACTGGCACTGTGAGGATTGTGTTTTCCACCTCCTAGCCTGCTTCCCTGGATCCATTCATTTCAAATGGTTCCCTTATGACCTACAGTCTGGAGATGTATTTCTCCTGCCTAGGTTCTCTCTGCATTGTGCAGGAGTACTTCATCCCCTTTGGAAAGCCCTGCTCAAGAGAGATGCCGAATGTGCTGGCTGTGTTTCCCGTTTTGTGGCTTCCTCCACCTGATCCCGCTCGTTAGGCCTGTTGACTGAAGCTGAAGTGCTGTGCGTGGAAGTGGGTTGAGAAGGAGCCTTTGCCAGTTCTCAGACGTGTCTTTTAAATTACGCAGACTGATTCCAAAGGTCAAGGGAAAGTGTCGACCAACTTGACACTTCGTGCTGCAGTGGGCAAGAGTTTGGATGCGCGCTCTGTTGCAGTGGAGCATGGCAAAGGTAATTTCAGAGGGACTAAATGGTTACCTTTGTAAAGTTCTCTGGGGTGACATGGCTGGGGAGAAAGCAGAGTGAAATAAGCCCTCAGAGTAATGACATGCCTCTTACGTCTTTTGTTAGGGGTCTTGCCAGCAGCAGAAGAAGAGCAGAAGGATAACAAAGACTTTTCCTGGGGAGATGATGACATTTCCTGGCTTTTGGAGGTAGCTGTTCTGGAGGGGGCAATGAGTTTCTTCTGGATCAATGATGTCTGGGCTCCTTTCCCTTTGCTGCTGCTTTTGCCACATGCTTGCACCTTGGGCCTGGACATGCCAGTGCTGCAGACAAACGGTTCAGTTAGTGCTGGGACAAAGTGAGGTCAGCTAATGTCCTGGGTCTCCTTGCAGCTGACCTCCCAGCTGGATTAATAGAACAAAGCAGTAAAGCTTCCCGCTGCTTGCAGTCCTCTGAAATCCTACAAGACTGGCACTGTGAGGATTGTGTTTTCCACCTCCTAGCCTGCTTCCCTGGATCCATTCATGTCAAATGGTTCCCTTATGACCTACAGTCTGGAGATGTATTTCTCCTGCCTCGGTTCTCTCTGCATTGGGGAGGAGTACTTCATCCCCTTTGGAAAGCCCTGCTCAAGAGAGATGCCGAACGTGCTGGCTGTGTTTGCCTCTTTTGTTCCTTCCGTCACCTGATCGTGCTCATTAGGGCTTTTGGCTAAAGCAGAAGTGTTGTGCGTGGAAGTGGGTTGAGAAGGAGCCTTTGCCAGTTCTCAGACGTGTCTTTTAAATTACACAGACTGATTCCAAAGGTCAAGGGAAAGTGTTGCCCAATTTGACACTTCCTGCTGCAGTGGGCAAGAGTTTGGATGCGCGCTCTGTTGCAGTGGAGCACGGCAAAGGTAATTTCAGAGGGACTAAATGGTTACCTTTGTAAAGTTCTCTGGGGTGACATGACTGGGGAGAAAGCAGAGTGAAATAAGCCCTCAGAGTAATGACCAACCTGTTATCTTTTGTTAGGGGTCTTGCCAGCAGCAGGAGAAGAGCAGAAGGAAGACAATGACTCCCCCTGGGATTCTGAGGTACCTGCTCTGGAGGTGGCAGTGAGGTCCCGCTGGATCAATGGCTTCTGGGCTCCTTTCCCTTTGCTGCTGCTTTTGCCCCACGCTTGCACCTTGGACCTGGACATGCCAGTGCTGCAGACAAAGTGTTCAGTTAGTGCTGGGACAAAGTGAGGTCAAGCTAATGTCCTGGGTCTCCTTGCAGCTGACCTCCCAGCTGGATTTGTAGAACAAAGCAGTAAAGCTTCTTGCTGCTTGCAGTCCTCTGAAATCCTACAAGACTGGCACTGTGAGGATTGTGTTTTCCACCTCCTAGCCTGCTTCCCTGGATCCATTCATGTCAAATAACCTCCAGTCTGGAGATGTATTTCTCCTGCCTCAGTTCTCTCTGCATTGGGCAGGAGTACTTCATCCCCTTTGGAAAGCCCTGCTCAAGAGAGATGCCGAATGTGCTGGCTGTGTTTCCCGTTTTGTGGCTTCCTCCACCTGATCCCGCTCGTTAGGCCTGTTGACTGAAGCTGAAGTGCTGTGCGTGGAAGTGGGTTGAGAAGGAGCCTTTGCCAGTTCTCCGACGTGTCTTTTAAATTACACAGACTGATTCTGACGGTCCCTGGGATGTGTCGAAAAATGTGCTGCTTCCTGCTGCATTCGGCAATAGATTGGACGCGCGTGCTGTGTTAGTACGGAGCGGCAAAGGTAATTTCAGAGGGACTAAATGGCTACCTTTGAGAACTTCTCTGGGGTGACATGGCTGGGGAGAAAGCAGAGTGAAATAAGCACTCAAAGACATGCCTGTTACCTTTTGTATAGGGGCCTTGCCAGCAGCAGAAGAGCAGAAGGAAGACAATGACTCCCCCTGGGATACTAAGGTACCTTCTCTGGAGGAGGCAGTGAGGTCCCGCTGAATCAATGGCGTCTGAGCTCCTTTCCCTTTGCTGCTGTTTTTGCCACACGCTTGCACCTTGGACCTGGACATGCCAGTGCTGCAGACAAAGTGTTCAGTTAGTGCTGGGACAAAGTGAGGTCAAGCTAATGACCTGGGTCTCCTGGCAGCTGACCTCCCAACTGGATTTCTAGAACAATGCAGTAAAGCTTCTTGCTGCTTGCAGTCCTCTGAAATCCTCCAAGACTGGCACTGTGAGGATTGTGTTTTCCACCTCCTAGCCTGCTTCCCTGGATCCATTCATTTCAAATGGTTCCCTTATGACCTACAGTCTGGAGATGTATTTCTCCTGCCTAGGTTCTCTCTGCATTGGGCAGGAGTACTTCATCCCCTTTGGAAAGCCCTGCTCAAGAGAGATGCCGAATGTGCTGGCTGTGTTTCCCGTTTTGTGGCTTCCTCCACCTGATCCCGCTCGTTAGGCCTGTTGGCTGAAGCTGAAGTGCTGTGCGTGGAAGTGGGTTGAGAAGGAGCCTTTGCCAGTTCTCCGACGTGTCTTTTAAATTACGCAGACTGATTCCAAAGGTCAAGGGAAAGTGTTGCCCAACTTGACACTTCGTGCTGCAGTGGGCAAGAGTTTGGATGCGCGCTCTGTTGCAGTGGAGCATGGCAAAGGTAATTTCAGAGGGACTAAATGGTTACCTTTGTAAAGTTCTCTGGGGTGACATGGCTGGGGAGAAAGCAGAGTGAAATAAGCCCTCAGAGTAATGACATGCCTCTTACGTCTTTTGTTAGGGGTCTTGCCAGCAGCAGAAGAAGAGCAGAAGGATAACAAAGACTTTTCCTGGGGAGATGATGACATTTCCTGGCTTTTGGAGGTAGCTGTTCTGGAGGGGGCAATGAGTTTCTTCTGGATCAATGATGTCTGGGCTCCTTTCCCTTTGCTGCTGCTTTTGCCACATGCTTGCACCTTGGGCCTGGACATGCCAGTGCTGCAGACAAACGGTTCAGTTAGTGCTGGGACAAAGTGAGGTCAGCTAATGTCCTGGGTCTCCTTGCAGCTGACCTCCCAGCTGGATTAATAGAACAAAGCAGTAAAGCTTCCCGCTGCTTGCAGTCCTCTGAAATCCTACAAGACTGGCACTGTGAGGATTGTGTTTTCCACCTCCTAGCCTGCTTCCCTGGATCCATTCATGTCAAATGGTTCCCTTATGACCTACAGTCTGGAGATGTATTTCTCCTGCCTCGGTTCCCTCTGCATTGGGGAGGAGTACTTCATCCCCTTTGGAAAGCCCTGCTCAAGAGAGATGCCGAACGTGCTGGCTGTGTTTGCCTCTTTTGTTCCTTCCGTCACCTGATCGTGCTCTTTAGGGCTTTTGGCTAAAGCAGAAGTGTTGTGCGTGGAAGTAGGTTGAGAAGGAGCCTTTGCCAGTTCTCAGACGTGTCTTTTAAATTCCACAGACTGATTCCAAAGGTCAAGGGAAAGTGTCGACCAATTTGACACTTCCTGCTGCAGTGGGCAAGAGTTTGGATGCGCGCTCTGTTGCAGTGGAGCACGGCAAAGGTAATTTCAGAGGGACTAAATGGTTACCTTTGTAAAGTTCTCTGGGGTGACATGGCTGGGGAGAAAGCAGAGTGAAATAAGCCCTCAGAGTAATGACATGCCTCTTACGTCTTTTGTTAGGGGTCTTGCCAGCAGCAGGAGAAGAGCAGAAGGAAGACAATGACTCCCCCTGGGATTCTGAGGTACCTGCTCTGGAGGTGGCAGTGAGGTCCCGCTGGATCAATGGCTTCTGGGCTCCTTTCCCTTTGCTGCTGCTTTTGCCCCACGCTTGCACCTTGGACCTGGACATGCCAGTGCTGCAGACAAACGGTTCAGTTAGTGCTGGGACAAAGTGAGGTCAAGCTAATGTCCTGGGTCTCCTTGCAGCTGACCTCCCAGCTGGATTTGTAGAACAAAGCCGTAAAGCTTCTTGCTGCTTGCAGTCCTCTGAAATCCTACAAGACTGGCACTGTGAGGATTGTGTTTTCCACCTCCTAGCCTGCTTCCCTGGATCCATTCATGTCAAATAACCTCCAGTCTGGAGATGTATTTCTCCTGTCTAGGTTCTCTCTGCATTGTGCAGGAGTACTTCATCCCCTTTGGAAAGCCCTGCTCAAGAGAGATGCCGAATGTGCTGGCTGTGTTTCCCGTTTTGTGGCTTCCTCCACCTGATCCCGCTCGTTAGGCCTGTTGACTGAAGCTGAAGTGCTGTGCGTGGAAGTGGGTTGAGAAGGAGCCTTTGCCAGTTCTCCGACGTGTCTTTTAAATTACACAGACTGATTCTGACGGTCCCTGGGATGTGTCGAAAAATGTGCTGCTTCCTGCTGCATTCGGCAATAGATTGGACGCGCGTGCTGTGTTAGTACGGAGCGGCAAAGGTAATTTCAGAGGGACTAAATGGCTACCTTTGAGAACTTCTCTGGGGTGACATGGCTGGGGAGAAAGCAGAGTGAAATAAGCACTCAAAGACATGCCTGTTACCTTTTGTATAGGGGCCTTGCCAGCAGCAGAAGAGCAGAAGGAAGACAATGACTCCCCCTGGGATACTAAGGTACCTTCTCTGGAGGAGGCAGTGAGGTCCCGCTGAATCAATGGCGTCTGAGCTCCTTTCCCTTTGCTGCTGTTTTTGCCACACGCTTGCACCTTGGACCTGGACATGCCAGTGCTGCAGACAAAGTGTTCAGTTAGTGCTGGGACAAAGTGAGGTCAAGCTAATGACCTGGGTCTCCTGGCAGCTGACCTCCCAACTGGATTTCTAGAACAATGCAGTAAAGCTTCCCGCTGCTTGCAGTCCTCTGAAATCCTACAAGACTGGCACTGTGAGGATTGTGTTTTCCACCTCCTAGCCTGCTTCCCTGGATCCATTCATTTCAAATGGTTCCCTTATGACCTACAGTCTGGAGATGTATTTCTCCTGTCTAGGTTCTCTCTGCATTGTGCAGGAGTACTTCATCCCCTTTGGAAAGCCCTGCTCAAGAGAGATGCCGAATGTGCTGGCTGTGTTTCCCGTTTTGTGGCTTCCTCCACCTGATCCCGCTCGTTAGGCCTGTTGACTGAAGCTGAAGTGCTGTGCGTGGAAGTGGGTTGAGAAGGGGCCTTTGCCAGTTCTCAGACGTGTCTTTTAAATTACGCAGACTGATTCCAAAGGTCAAGGGAAAGTGTCGACCAACTTGACACTTCCTGCTGCAGTGGGCAAGAGTTTGGATGCGCGCTCTGTTGCAGTGGAGCACGGCAAAGGTAATTTCAGAGGGACTAAATGGTTACCTTTGTAAAGTTCTCTGGGGTGACATGGCTGGGGAGAAAGCAGAGTGAAATAAGTACTCAGAGTAACAACACACTTTTTCCCTTTTTTCTAGGTATCGTGCCAGCAGCAGGAGCAGAGCAGAAGGAATATTTTGACCCTTCTTCTAAGAATAAGGTCCTTAGCTCTGTTCCAGATGAATTGCATTGCCTTTGGCTGAAGTCAGATGTAGTGTGATGCTGCAGTCTTGATGAGCATTCGTTTCTCCACTGTGTCTCTGTTTTCTTGCTCATTTAGGTTCCTACGCTGGAGGCAGAAGATCTTCAGCTAAGATCTGATTCTTCAAGTCAAACAGATTCTCAGCTGGACAGACAGGTGACTCTAATAGAGGCAGAAGCAGATATCCCTAAATAGAGCCTGTCAGTGTAAGCAGAGGTGTTCTGACTTCGGAATTCATTTTGAAAAACTGCTGAGAGGAGGTGATTGAGTCTGGACCTGTGCTTTACTTCAGACCTCATTTTGTTTGCATTCTGAAGCAGAAGGGCTGGAATAAGCCTTGCTCCAAGTCCCATCCAGCTTCACTTTGAACACTTCCACAACCGGGTCCAGTGTCCCACCACAGTCCTTGCAAACAATTTACCCCTTATGTCCCATCTAAGTCTACCCTCTTTTCATTTTAAATGATTGCCTCTTCTTCTGTCGCTACAGGCCTTGGTAAAAATATCTCTCCCTCTATTTACACTGAAAGACAGCAGTAAGTTCTGCCCAGAGCCTGCTTTTCTCAGGCTGAAAATCCCAAGTCTCTCAGCCTTTTTCATGGGAGAGCTGTTCCAGCCCTCCAAACATCTTTGTGGCATTCCTCCATCCATGTCTTGCTTGTGCTGGTGGCTGTGGAGCTGGATGCAGGACTCCAAGTGGAGTCTCATGAGATCAGAGTAGAAAGGGAGAATTGCCTCGCTCGACCTGCTGGCCAGCCTGATGACCAATCTAGTTATATAATCCCATCAGTAAAAGCATCTCTTGTGTTGTCATGTTGTCATGTTCTTACCGATTTCTCCATGCTCATGGAACACTATGTCTTTAGCCATTGGTCAGGCAGCTGCTGGAGAAGCCTGATGAAGTTCTCAAAAAGAACTCCCTGGCAGAACCTTCACTTGGAGCTATGAAGACCCACAGCAAGGACCTGAAGGAAGAGAAACCGCTGATGCAGGAGAAACTGGAGAGGTCTGAAGCTAAGGTATGGGAAAGCCTGTCTCTTGGCAGGGCTCAAGGCCTTCTTTGTAGCGCACTAGAGCAGGGAAGTGATTCTTCCTTGAGAAGAACACAGGGTGGTTCAGTGTGCAGCTAGCTGTGATGGGAAGGAACAGCACTGCTGCCTTTGGTGTCTGCCTGTTGGCACGACTTGAAGTGACAGTGGAGGGCTGCACTAAGGTGGCGCAGGGACCAAAAAATTATATGCGGAAGATTTACTCGAGGAGGATAAAAGAATTTTTGCTCAGGGAAGTTTTGGCTGCTAGGAAAGGCCCAGCGTGGGGGGAGATTATTTCCCATGAAAAGCACTGTCTGTATTTCTCTGCCTGTCTGTTTAAGAAGCTAACTCCACTGTTGCAAGAAGAGGTAACACATTCTGACAGACATGTTGTGGGGCCCCTGCCAGGGGAGAGAAGAAGTCCATAGAAGGACAGGGAGAGAACACAGCCTTGAAGTTGTTGTCGTGGGGTAAAAAAGTGTTTTGCCCGGGAGTTAGAAAAGTGGTAACCCCCGAGGGGGTGGTGTTCTTGGTGTAGGGCCCAATCAGAAGCTACATTTTGCTCCTTTGAAATCAACATATTATAACAGACCGGAAAAGAAGGGAGATGATGTAGCTGGAAAAGAAGTAGCCATAATCTTTCCCTTTTGTGCCTCCAGTTCTCCATCCTGCCGCAGGGGGGAGGGAGAGTGGCGAGCCAGTGAGCAGCACTGTGGCTTGGAGAGTCTCAATGGGAGCACTAAACTGGGGAGTACCATTCCTAAACCACGACACCACCAACGCACTACAACTTGTGTTTGGAGTCCTTGAGAAAGGAGAGAAATGTTGTGGCAGCCCACAGGAAATGCTCTAAGAAATCAGTGTAGGCATAGGAGAGGGCCCAGTATAAAAGAGGAAGAGGTAACAGGTTTTGAGAGTTTTCATCAGTGTCAAAGCAGCCCACTTGTTTTGAACAAACGTAAGCCGTCTGCTGAGGATTCTTGTTGGGGTTTGGCATCTGCAGGAACCGAAGGAGCATCATATCCAGAAGGAATGTTTTGCTGCGTCATTGAAGAATGCCCCAATGGAGAAGGAAATAACAACTTCCAGGAACCTGCAAGGCCTTCCTCCTTCATGCAGCATGTCTTTACCTGCAGCTATCGGCCAGCTGCGAGACCGCATTCACTGGTAAGACAGTGGAGCAAAGCTTCACTTTTTGTGATTGTGTAAAAACAACGGGACTTACTTGTATCCCAGCGAGATACTACTACATGATTTTCAAAGATGCTTTTATTTTAGATGAGGTTCTTTCACACTGTTCCTTTGGGATTTGTGCTCTTGTGGACTTCTGTCATAAGGCCGGTACTTCTTTTTCAGTCTCGAAGTTGAGTACGCCAGGCTGGAAGCCACAGTCCAGCAACAAGCCCAAACCATTGAAATAATTGAGAAGTTCAGGCAAGCCCAAAAGGTACTCGGGGCCTTCCCTTTCATGACCCACGGAGCCTAGTTCCGTATTCAGGTGGGGAAATTTTACGATGAGCTTTCCCTAGAGAGAGTCTAGGAGAGATCAGTTCCTCTTTCTACTGACTGTAGACTGCCCTGAAAGTCCTGTCTGTTCCCCAGCTTCCTGGCATTTTGAGTTGTGCCGTGAGACTAAACCAAATCCTACTTATTGCTGTCTGTGTTAGGGGTTGACAGTAATGCACTTAAGTATTAGTGCATTACCAGGTTTCGGTGTTTTCTGCTTTAGACCAGTCGGGAGGTTGAGGCCTCAGACAGCAGTTCAGACAGTCCTACAGTAGAGGGATTTGGTACCTTTGCTTGTGGGCTTTCCATGGGCTCTGGTGATGCCGAGCACTTCTTCCTGGAGGAATGGCATGAAGCTGTGTCAGGGGAGGTTTGCTTCAGATGTTAGGAAAAGGTTCTTCAGCCAGAGGGCAGTTGGACCTTTTCTCCATGCAGGAGACTTTCTTGGCACATAACTGCTCCACCCACCCTCCCTGTTTTACGGAGCACAGGGGGCAGTTGCAAGGGAATATTTTCTATTCTTGCTATCCTGTCCACCCTCACAGCTGCTGCCAACTCTTTCTCTCCCACAGACATGCAAGTGATCCATCATTCACAGAGGAGCGAGGCCCAAGCTGCCATAAGAAAGACAGCCATCTCTCTGTGGCAGTAACTGTGGTTTAAACATGCTTCAAAATGGCTTTTTGTAGTCTCTTTGCTGGCTCACTGTAGCAGTTCGTTTGGATACATGTCCGGAATAAAGACAAGTGCCAGAAATACTCAAACACACAAAATATCTTTTATTACAGTGAGAATAATAATAATAGTAATAAACTTAGCAAGAGGAATTAAAAACTAAAAAAGGATACAAAATAACTACCTTATCGGGTGGCATTAAAACAAATGCTACAAACAGCATTTAATACAGTATTAACTAGTGAAAAGGGATACCAAAAAAGGATCTTAACACAATATTAGGGATAACAAGATATTGGTTAGTAAAAAGGGAAACTAAAGGAAAGATACTATAAACATAAAAGGGGAATTAAAGGAACACTAAAAGGATATTAAAAAGTTTGTTCTCTCAGTTGCTTTCTATCAAAAAACTGTGCTTACCCACACAGACAGGCCAGGGCTGTCAGGATCTGCAGCAGCTGGTCAGTGCCCGTGCTTAGCGGGCATCCCCGCGGAGCAACACAGTCTCGGTGGTAGGATGAGGATCGCTCAACTCAGCAGACCCGACACCCCATTTTTATCAGTTCCACATTACACTACGTAGGACCAGTACACAGTATAAGGTGATGCCTGAGTGGCAGCCAAACCCCGCCTAATCATCACCTAATGGCAACAGTCTGCGCATGCCCTACTTGTAGGGCAAGGGGCGAGCGACCCCTGCCCACAGAATCTTCCTCCCATCATCATCTTTCTCACCCCTATGTATGACCTCTACCATTGTGTTTCAAGGGTAGATGTATCTATCTTGCAATATGTAGCAAAACCAAGGAAGAACTCAGCTCTGATAATAGGGGATATCAAGCTGACTTGCTAAAAAGCACAATGGACCTTACAATTCGCT